TTGTATGCATAGGTATGTTTAAATCACGATAATTTTTAAAAAATTCTACAAAACTTGTGTATTTTTATATGTGTGTGTTATATCCCTTTTTTATGTTTTAGTTGGCTGAAGAGGAGCTTAAGTACCTGAAACGTGTAATTTTTTCACACATATCAACTAAATAAAGATGAGGAAACCTGCCAAGTGTCTTAATTTATAGCACTTCATTGTGTTAGGAGCAGAAACTATCATATCAAGTCAGATGTTGCCAAGTTGATATCATATGAAAAGTTTCATTTAACAATTTTTAATACTTCTATTCTATTCCATCAGTGTGTGAAACATGTAAAAACAGCTATTTGAATTGAAAATGTATAATTAGAAGATTTTGCTACTGAAACTTCTAACTTTATATTAGTTTTACATAGTCAACTTATCTTATCTTTAAGAAATTTATATGAAAAAAGTTTAGAAGCATGTTTTTAAAGAGGATTTGGCTTATTTGTAATTGAAATGTTATTCAATAATAAATAAATCAATAGCCAGATGACTATGATGATAAAGACATCAACTTATTGCTCTGAGAGACCTGGAAGTGAACCTCAGCAGTCAAAAACATCAAGAATTTTTTATGATCGATCCATCCCAAATATGTTTGGCTTCATTCTTTACTACCTGATCACTCCAATTGCGGAACCCTCAATTGCGGACTACCACCTCATTGCGGAATTGGAATCCATAAGGAATATAATAAAAAAGTCCACAAGACAAAAAAAAAGCCATAAATGAGAAATAAATAGTGAACTTTAAAATGTTTCCATTAGCTACACTAATCATTATTTATCTTTTTTTTCTATTAATTTTATTGATTTTTACAACAGAGCTCACTAAAAATATTATTATACTGAATTCTATACTAGGTTGACTTCTGTAGGCTGGATATCTCATTCTGCTCTCACATAAACTTGTGAACTTTGACCTTGTATATCTCCAGTTACAAGTCAAATTTTAAAATGCAGTTTGCATCATGACCTAGACTGAGACGGATTCTATTTGTATGCAAAAAATTATTTAAATTGGTTAAGTGGTTTTGGAAGAGTTAACTGTCACACATACGTCAAAGTCGTCAATAAGAGAGCTCTGCATCGTTCCATCCAATTAAGCAAAATAATAGTTTTTGTGAACTTATTAATACAATATTTCAACTTAAAATGTGTTTCAAAAAGTGTAACAGATTAATGTTTTAAAAAAAATTTATATTGTCTTACTTAAATAAAATTTATCAATTTGAAGTCATACCTAATAATGTCAATATTTGTGGTTTTTCATAACTTGGTACTACATGTATTCATGTAGTACCAAGATGTAGTACCAAGTAAAATACATAAGAATCTACAAAATTCTTTACGTCATATTCAATAATTAATCAATGCACCTTTAACAGTAGACGAATTTTAAATAATGCTAATAGTTTTGACCCACTTAATGGCCCATTTTCTTGGACATTAATCAAAATGGTCAAAATTTAAAATTTTTTCATTTTATATTTATAAAAATAATCTTGCAATATGCTTTTAAATTTAAGGACAAGGCTGTTGAAAAAAATTGAAAACACCTTCAAATAGAAAGACAAAGAATATGAAATCAAACCAGACTAAAAAGAATATTTGTGCCTGCATCAATCCAGTTAAAAGCAGGAAAAAGAGAAGTTGTAGAAAAAAAAAACATCCAGGCCCAAGAATTACACAAAGAAACAAATGGTCAAGTTACCCACTAAGAAAAAGAAAAGAGGCTCTAAAAAGAAAAAATCAAAGCCTAAAAGAAGAAAGATTAGTTAGAATTTTCAATCTTTTTGAATATTGAAAAATGTTATTATTAAAATACAAATATGTTGCAAGGGATTAAAAGTTAAAAGTTACATTAAAAATTTTATAAACTTTTTAACAAAACTATTTAATAAATTTATTATTATTATTATTATGTAGTGACAATATTTCTGGCATTTGCAAATTCATTTGTGTAAATCAACTTTGTAAAATGATCAAAGTTGTGCATTGGATGTCATGCCAATAGTTTTACTAATTTAAGAAAAAAAAACTTTGCAAAAAAAACATTAAAGACATTTAAAGAACATTTTATTTTGCTGCTAGCACTTTCGACACATTAATGGGCATTGTCCTCATTACTGCATCAAAAGCACTAGCAGCAAAATAAAATGTTCTTTAAATGTCTTTAATGCCTTTTTTGCAAAAGAAAGGTTTTACCTTTGTAAAAGTCATATTTATATTTTTATGTATTTACTAGCTTACCCATCACGCATTGCTGCGATCTCAGAAGAAACGAAATTCAAGCAAACTCGTTATAGTAAAATTCAATTTACATTTTATCATTTTTATTGAAATTTATTATTATTATTATTATTCATTTTCATCGGGAAAACATTTCAAAGTGTCGTTTCAATTCTATTTATTTATTGGAGTGCTTGTGGATACACAATATTTTTTGTTTTTCCGTCTGGTGCGTACATGAATAAATCACAAGGGTTTCCGACGTGTGAGCTGGCCACATACAGTTGTCCATGTGAGAAGCACGGATTCTCCAAACATTAGCCCACACATTTGCAGCGATTGTCAGAAGTGTGATATTCCCATTTTTTTATATATTTTTTTTAATCCTTTACAATTTTAATTATTTAATTGCTCCTTCCTCTCTTCCTTGGCATGTTGTGAAATTTCTGATAGTTGGATAATAAACCATTTTATTGTAATTTGTCTTTTTAAATTATTTTGAGTTGATATTAAAATTTGGAAAAGGGGGGATCTCTAGATCGGTAAAATAAGCGAATTTCCTCCTACAACTTCGGTTGTTGTTCAGGATACAGTTAAGGTTTTAACAAAGTTCAAGCGAATACATAATTAGCAAAAAATAGTTGAAATAAAGTGATTAAACAAAAATTATTACAAATATCGTAAATAACAGTTCATAAATGCATATATAGAAATATTTTTTGGAGGGGGAAACGGTCTTCACAATTTGAAATTGATCGAACTCACAATGAAATGCTTGTATACACTCGCACCATCTATCATAGGATAAATGTACTATGCCAGAAACCTTTGCGAGAGTGTATTAAAAAAGTTCCCAAAGTTTCACGGCAATCGTATTATGCCAGAAACCTTCGCGGGAGTATATTAAACAACTTCCAAAGTTTCATGGCAATCGGATAAATGGTGTGGTAATGCATGAAGGGCATACAGACAGACAGACATTCATTTTTATATATATAGATAAATCGTATTATGCCAGAAACCTTCGCGGGAGTATATTAAACAACTTCCAAAGTTTCATGGCAATCGCATAAACGGTGTGGTAATGCATGAAGGGCATACAGACAGATACACAGACAGACAGACATTCATTTTTATATACAGTATATAGAGAATACAAATTTATTTCTTCTCTTCATACATCAATAAATTTTCTCTGTGAAATGCAGTTTTCCTCGTGCAATATTTAGTGTGCATTTTTAACATTAAGTAATTTTCTCTTGAGTATAACTGATAATAAAAGCTTTCTTTAAATTATCGTAAACTTCGTTAAAATTTTTACAGTGAAATCTAGTTAAATACTCAAAGCACTCACACATTTATTTTCTAATTATTCCAGTTTCAAACCGCATAATGTTCTCGTTCTTCTTGATTAATTTTATGTTCCTCTTCATCTTCTGTTGTGCTATTCAAGGAATTTAACGATATATTCACATAAATTATATCAAATATATCTCAATAAATCATACGTAGATCAATTAAGTATAAATAATATAACATGTAATTATTTTCTTAAAAAATTCCTTAATAATTTCTTACTTAATAATGGTATCGTTTAAACGAATTCTTTTGGTCTCGGGTAAAGGTAAAATTAAGAAACCAGACGAAAGAGTCAATACACCTATTATAATAAAGNCAGAGGTCTTCCTGGGAAGCTCTAGCTGTGTGTAACTAAGTATTATTTAGCTGGAAAATCAGCTGTTTCCCTGTCATAAAACCTTGAAAATTTCATGATGAAACCAAAAATTGGCTTATTCATATTTTTTTAAATTTATGTAAATATATATATATAAAGCTGTATGTTGTTAAACTATGTAAACTATTTTTAAAATGATATCTATAAAATCTTCATTCTAAAACTGTATATAATTCTGATATCTGTTATAATACATTTTTTTATTTTTACTTTGTATTTTTAGCTCTTCAATGTATTAAAAATCATAAGCATGCTTGGCCATTTCTTGAACCTATAGATGAAAATTATGCACCTGGATATTATAACATTATTAAGGTATTTCTGACTTAAAGTTTGAAAATATATTTAAAAATTTTAAATTTATATATAAACATTTTATTTAAACATTGTTTTAATAAATTAACATTATTAATTTTTCAGTATCCTGTAGATCTAGCTAAAATAGAAATGAAAGTCTTGCAGAAAACTTACACTTCTTGGCAGGATGTTGAAAAAGATTTCCAACAAATTATTCACAATTGTAAAATGTACAATGGACCAAATAGTGGTATGTTCTGTTTTTACATGATTATTAAACATATATATTCAAGACAGTATTTAGTTCTTGTTAATTTTTAAATATCAATTATATAGTTATAAAAATTATTGAATATTAGTGAATATATATATATATATATATATATTCACTAATATTCAATAATTTTTATAACTATATAATTGATATTTAAAAATTAACAAGAACTAAATACTGTCTTGAATATATATGTTTAATAATCATGTAAAAACAGAACATACCACTATTTGGTCCATTGTACATTTTACAATTGTGAATAATTTGTTGGAAATCTTTTTCAACATCCTGCCAAGAAGTGTAAGTTTTCTGCAAGACTTTCATTTCTATTTTAGCTAGATCTACAGGATACTGAAAAATTAATAATGTTAATTTATTAAAACAATGTTTAAATAAAATGTTTATATATAAATTTAAAATTTTTAAATATATTTTCAAACTTTAAGTCAGAAATACCTTAATAATGTTATAATATCCAGGTGCATAATTTTCATCTATAGGTTCAAGAAATGGCCAAGCATGCTTATGATTTTTAATACATTGAAGAGCTAAAAATACAAAGTAAAAATAAAAAAATGTATTATAACAGATATCAGAATTATATACAGTTTTAGAATGAAGATTTTATAGATATCATTTTAAAAATAGTTTACATAGTTTAACAACATACAGCTTTATATATATATATTTACATAAATTTAAAAAAATATGAATAAGCCAATTTTTGGTTTCATCATGAAATTTTCAAGGTTTTATGACAGGGAAACAGCTGATTTTCCAGCTAAATAATACTTAGTTACACACAGCTAGAGCTTCCCAGGAAGACCTCTGTCACAGAGACACACTTCCTTGGTCTGCCTTCTCTAAAGCTAGGGCAGACCAAGGAAGTGTGTGTCTGTGACAGACCAAGGAAGCATTTGTAGGGCCAGACAGATCCTACAAATCCTTCCTTGTATGTCAGCTTTGACCATCTACAAGGGCATAAGATCTGGAAAGGCATTCAGAATGTGATAGATCCTGTGAGAAAATATATTACAGGATAGCACATGGTGCCTGTATGCCAGCCTTCAAATCATATCATTGCTGTATCTAGGTAAGAAGTCTTAAACATACTAAAGATTCCTTTAAATTAAACTGCTATTCCACAGGAAATGGTCTCTTTGTATAATACATTATAATCACTTATTACTACTTTCCATACATTCGCTCTAATAAAGTTTTGTTCAATTCCAACATCTCCTTGGTGTGTAACTTTTTGTCAATTTTGTAATGAGTGTATTTGTATACACACATACATATTAAAAGAGAATTTGAATAAAAAATATTCATCTAAACACATTTCAAACATTTTGTTTGTAAAAATTGAGAATAAATATTTTTTTTTAAACTTTTCATTAAATTTTAAGTTTACTCATGCATCATGTAAATTTAAAATGTAAATCTGACTAATAAAATCATTTTTATAAAAAACACCTTGTAATTTACAGTTTTATAAAAATCTTTACAAATGAAAAAAACAATCCCAATTTCTATAAGATAATTTTTTGTTGTATTTTTGACAAGACTATGTCTTGTTTATAAAATCGTACTGCCTGCTGTGTTACCAGCTTAGAGGTATGAAGGAATACATGTAAGGAGTTGCAATTTGGTACAGAGTATTAGGTGCCCAAATCATGTGCGCATAAAAAACCAGACTTGTAGATACTCATGGGACCGAGAACTGAGTCAAAATAAAATACAAAATGGCGACTCTCTCTACAAACAGGCAAACCAAAGTCAGGTGGTGAGAGTACCACCCACAGTCATTCTAGGAAGTGGACTCTGACCCTAGGGCTGAACACACAGTATTTTCTTTGTTAAATAAAATTTGTAATCTAATTTTGTAAATTTGGAAGTGCTTCAAATATGACATTAAAACACGGTTTTATGCCGTTACAAGTAGGTTTTTTTTTAACATTATCTAGTATAATAAAATCATGGAACCAATAAAAATTTGACACTATATTAGGGTTGTCGTTACATCCGATATTGTTAAAATCAGGTTAAACTGTATATTGTTTGTGCAAAATAAAAAATAATTTCGGACGATACAATAGCCACGATTATTTTTTTCAAAAACGAGAAATTTTCATTACGCATCAACAAAAATTCAACCCGGGACGACATGCAACAGAGAGAAATTTTGAAATTGAATAGGTTAATTTTATCAAAAATGCATCATGGACGACCTTGTGGTCATGACCAGCGAAGTTTGAACAATCGCACCCAAAAGTAGCAATACCAAAGAAGATTGGAGAATGAGACTTGAGTGTCAGTGATTCCGCTTAGTAGTGAGTCTCTAAGACATAGTCTTGTCCCAAATATGGTTTTGCTGTTTTACTTATTAGAAATTGTTTTCTTTTTATATCAGATAAGTAATTGTGACCACAATAAATAGCATTATTTTTATAATTTTGTTTGTATTTGTAAATCATTAAAAAGAAATAATAAAAATATAATTACCTTTTGAAAGATTTTCAAAAAAGTTTTCATCAGTCACAGATCTAAAAAATTAAGTAATCATCATCACATTAGAAGATTTTAAATCATTTTGTTTATTAAATTTGTTTAATTCTCAAATTAATTAATTGATATAAAATACATTATGTATGCATTTATAAAATACAATCACTAAAAAACTAGGTAAACTTGATCCAAAGCTACAAAGAAAAACCAAATAAACAGCAGAAAAAATTGAATTTCCCATTTTTTTTTCTGCTGTTTATTTGGTTTTTTTGTAGCTTTGTATTTATGCATTTATATTCAAATGCATAAATAAATAAAAATTGTTTTATTTTACTTACGCAGAAGCACTCTCACTATCAAGATTTAATACCGTATTTAAGTTAGAAGATAAATCATCATCATCATTTCTCTTTTCTATTAAAAAAAAATATATAAAATTATACATTTTAGAATTTCAATCTGGTTAGTTTTCATTTTATATTTATAAAAATAATCTTGCAATATGCTTTTAAATTTAAGGACAAGGCTGTTGAAAAAAATTGAAAACACCTTCAAATAGAAAGACAAAGAATATGAAATCAAACCAGACTAAAAAGAATATTTGTGCCTGCATCAATCCAGTTAAAAGCAGGAAAAAGAGAAGTTGTAGAAAAAAAAAACATCCAGGCCCAAGAATTACACAAAGAAACAAATGGTCAAGTTACCCACTAAGAAAAAGAAAAGAGGCTCTAAAAAGAAAAAATCAAAGCCTAAAAGAAGAAAGATTAGTTAGAATTTTCAATCTTTTTGAATATTGAAAAATGTTATTATTAAAATACAAATATGTTGCAAGGGATTAAAAGTTAAAAGTTACATTAAAAATTTTATAAACTTTTTAACAAAACTATTTAATAAATTTATTATTATTATTATTATGTAGTGACAATATTTCTGGCATTTGCAAATTCATTTGTGTAAATCAACTTTGTAAAATGATCAAAGTTGTGCATTGGATGTCATGCCAATAGTTTTACTAATTTAAGAAAAAAAAACTTTGCAAAAAAAACATTAAAGACATTTAAAGAACATTTTATTTTGCTGCTAGCACTTTCGACACATTAATGGGCATTGTCCTCATTACTGCATCAAAAGCACTAGCAGCAAAATAAAATGTTCTTTNTACTAACAAAAACAGATAATCAACTATTAATAATCTCAAAGTACTAATATTTCTAAAGATAATATAAAACAGCTCCACACAATGGCAGCACTAGGATGTCTCATGCCTGCATGTAAGTCTCTTGCATGCAGGTGTGTCTCTTGCAAGTTAGTGAAAATATACTGTGAATTCCTATTTTTTCATCACTCATAATTCCTTTGAATTGAATTTTGGATGGTATGAATGTCTGGCAAAGTTGTAGCAAGAAAATCACCACCAAAGTCACTTCTCATATGATTGGTCAATAATTATTTTAAAAAGTGTAATTTGCAATACTAATACATCTATATACTGTACACTTTCTTAGAAAACTTATGTTAGAGTTTAACATAACAAAATCCCCTGAAAATTATACAGGATGTCTTAAGTGTTGTAAATTACACTAATTCTAATAGTAAAAGAAACTTGTTACAATTACTTTCATCAAGTAAGATCAGATTCCAGTAGATTTAGGGTTTTGACTGTAATGTACAGGTTAACAGACTATAATATATAGTTTCTTGAAAAAGCTGGAAATGATAGATTCAAGCTCAAAAAGTGGCAAAAAAATCACTAAACTGTTCTTGAAAAAGTTAAAATTGGTTTCCATTGTTGTTTAGTGTTAAGTGTTATCAAAAAATTTTGCTTGGAAGCTAACATTTCAGCTAAATACACCAAAAATAATAATTAATTTTAAGTTCTAAGTAAGAAATTTAGGTGCTAAAATACCAAAAAAATTCCAAATTTAGCAACTCTGCTCTTATCTGAATTGATGCCTAGTGACTGCAGGTAATGTTCAGTAGAATTGTTGTATTAAGAGAGTAACACAATTTTATTCCTAAAATTTAATTTACTGCATTATCATCATTGTATAGAAAGGAAAATACTGTGTATTTTATGAGTACAGATTGAGAAAATGTATTGCTAAACAGATGTTTATTGCATAACCATATTTCTTATCATTATGTCAATAATTGCTGTACTAAGATTTGATTGTACAGGTACATCACTAATTCACCATCGTCGAGACTTGTAGGGTGCCAGATTAGTGATTTTGTCAGATCACAGAGTGGTTAGGTTAGAATACACTTAACCTTGATGCTAACAGTGTATATGCAGCAAGTAGTGCCAGGTTAGTGCAGCAAACTGAAATTTGAAATTACATCAGCCAAAATCAGTGCTGGATTAATGATGAAACTGAACTAGTGATTGTAAGATTAGTGATGGTCGACTGTATTTGTTATTTATCATTTTCTACATGCTTTTTAATTTATGAGGAATAATTATTAAATAATATAGTTATCAAATAGAAAAATTTCACACAAAAAATTGAAGCAAAGTTAAATAAACATTGATTTTTAATGAAAAATTTGAAATATTGAATATTGTGTTGTAGATAAAGAGTCACAAGCAGATCTGCTATAGTTTCCTAAATGAAATTCAAGATCAAAACAAATCTTTATTTCTGAATAGGATGCCATAAATATTTCATTGTTTAATAACATTCCAATCAAAACTTCTTCCAAAACTTCAGACTATGAGGCGTTAAATATAATTAAAAATATTTTAATCTTGCGAGTGCTTTCGTCGTAAATATGCACGTCATCTTCAGGCAATTCAAAATCAAATTTGAATTGCCTGAAGATGACGTGCATATTTACGTCGAAAGCACTCGCAAGATTAAAATATTTTAAATTATATTTAACGCCTCATAGTCTGAAGTTTTGGAAGAAGTTTTGATTGGAATGTTATTAAACAATGAAATATTTATGGCATCCTATTCAGAAATAAAGATTTGTTTTGATCTTGAATTTCATTTAGGAAACTATAGCAGATCTGCTTGTGACTCTTTATCTACAACACAATATTCAATATTTCAAATTTTTCATTAAAAATCAATGTTTATTTAACTTTGCTTCAATTTTTTGTGTGAAATTTTTCTATTTGATAACTATATTATTTAATAATTATTCCTCATAAATTAAAAAGCATGTAGAAAATGATAAATAACAAATACAGTCGACCATCACTAATCTTACAATCACTAGTTCAGTTTCATCATTAATCCAGCACTGATTTTGGCTGATGTAATTTCAAATTTCAGTTTGCTGCACTAACCTGGCACTACTTGCTGCATATACACTGTTAGCATCAAGGTTAAGTGTATTCTAACCTAACCACTCTGTGATCTGACAAAATCACTAATCTGGCACCCTACAAGTCTCGACGATGGTGAATTAGTGATGTACCTGTACAATCAAATCTTAGTACAGCAATTATTGACATAATGATAAGAAATATGGTTATGCAATAAACATCTGTTTAGCAATACATTTTCTCAATCTGTACTCATAAAATACACAGTATTTTCCTTTCTATACAATGATGATAATGCAGTAAATTAAATTTTAGGAATAAAATTGTGTTACTCTCTTAATACAACAATTCTACTGAACATTACCTGCAGTCACTAGGCATCAATTCAGATAAGAGCAGAGTTGCTAAATTTGGAATTTTTTTGGTATTTTAGCACCTAAATTTCTTACTTAGAACTTAAAATTAATTATTATTTTTGGTGTATTTAGCTGAAATGTTAGCTTCCAAGCAAAATTTTTTGATAACACTTAACACTAAACAACAATGGAAACCAATTTTAACTTTTTCAAGAACAGTTTAGTGATTTTTTTGCCACTTTTTGAGCTTGAATCTATCATTTCCAGCTTTTTCAAGAAACTATATATTATAGTCTGTTAACCTGTACATTACAGTCAAAACCCTAAATCTACTGGAATCTGATCTTACTTGATGAAAGTAATTGTAACAAGTTTCTTTTACTATTAGAATTAGTGTAATTTACAACACTTAAGACATCCTGTATAATTTTCAGGGGATTTTGTTATGTTAAACTCTAACATAAGTTTTCTAAGAAAGTGTACAGTATATAGATGTATTAGTATTGCAAATTACACTTTTTAAAATAATTATTGACCAATCATATGAGAAGTGACTTTGGTGGTGATTTTCTTGCTACAACTTTGCCAGACATTCATACCATCCAAAATTCAATTCAAAGGAATTATGAGTGATGAAAAAATAGGAATTCACAGTATATTTTCACTAACTTGCAAGAGACACACCTGCATGCAAGAGACTTACATGCAGGCATGAGACATCCTAGTGCTGCCATTGTGTGGAGCTGTTTTATATTATCTTTAGAAATATTAGTACTTTGAGATTATTAATAGTTGATTATCTGTTTTTGTTAGTAAATATGACCATATTTACTAATATATATTTTTAAACTGTGAATTTTAAGAGAATCAAATTACCTTCTATTTTCCTTTTTTCAGTCTTTGAATATGATTTTCCAACAATATCTGATCTCTGATTTCTTTGAATTGTCTGTTCATTTCTTAATGCAAAATTGTCAAAAATTTCCTAAAAATTCAAATATTTATAGTACCATATTTTAAATAAAATAAAATGTTTAAAAATATTTTCAAACCTTATCTCTTTGCTTTTCTTCAATTCTAGCAGAAGATCGTCGTTCTGTATATTTGTAATCTGAAATATCACCCTACAAAAACAAAATTACATATTGTATTCAGATAAATTAAATTCAGGCAGTATAATAAATTAATTTCAGCATAAAGTATTAAAGCTTCAACACTAAAAACACTTGTAACATATTGTAAACAACAGTTAAACCTATTTTTATGACTAATTCCATTGCATTTACTTGGTATTTGATCATTTTGTCAAAAATATATTATTAGTTCTTTACAAAATTTTATAAATTAGTTCATTAATATAACAATAAATTTTGATACCTTCTCTTCAGCTAATTTTTCTATTGCAGCAAGAAATCCATCAGCTAAAACATTGTATAATTTTTTCTCCCATAATGATTTGCTTTTACGAAGTCTTTCTGCTAACTTATACCAATCTTCTAAGGTGTTACATATAACAGTCCATTTTGGTTGTGAATGATTTTGATCTTTCAAATTCTTCAATTTATTTCTGAAATAAACAGCAGGCATTTAAGTGTTTCCATTATTTATTATATTCTTTTAAGATATATATATGCATATCTTCATATATAAGTTTATTTCTTTAAATCTGAAAGAAATGTCTGACATATGACTGATTGAAATACTGTGTATCACATTGACAAGTAAAGCTTATCATATATTTAGGAGTTGATATGTAAAGCAAATATAAACCTAAATATATGGGCATGAAATTAATTTATATACCAAATCAACTTATATACCACAATTAAGAGTGTATACACATGCAAACATTATATAATAATTAAAATACCAGTTATATAATAATTGAAAATCCTAAAATAATTTTGTAATAAAGCCAAATAATGGCCAAAGATCATCTAAACAATATTGAAACTCTTACAGCAAAAATTTGTCATGCAATCAATAATATATGCGAGAATATGTTGTACCAGTCTATACATGACAAACTTCAAAGATTCAAAGAGTGTTGACACATAAATGAAGCTCACTTGCATGATATTGTCTTCAAATTATAAATGACAAAGGATGTTGTTTGAAATCTTGTACATAAAATTTATTAATAAAGATTCAAAAGTTAATAACTGCCGATTTATAAATGCCTATTTTCCTGCATAACACTTTATATAACTTATAACGATTTCCATAACTTAAAATTTTAGAAATATTTAAGATAAAATTTTAGTTCTATTATTCAAAAATTCCCTCTTTATAATATATTGTTTTAATTAATATTTATTAATAAAGACTTTATAGTAAAAAGTAAAAATTGTTAATTATATAATATCCAAGAAAAATAAAACAAATACAACACCTTTAATAGTGAGTAAAACTTTGTAAATTACAAATATTTTTAACCCAGTTAATGGACCATCTTCAAGCATAAAAAAATGAAATACAAATGCTGTTCCATTTTCATACATCTGAAGATAGTGTTAACCAGCATGGACAGTGCTAGGGTAGAGAGAAAGTGAGTGACAGCCCATCCTAAATTCTTCTTGCCCATCAATTCATCCACCCTGAAATAATTTATTCAAGTCTACCTATACTGACCCATTATTGGGGATTTTCATTAAATATGAATTGATTACTCATCAAGTAATTACCCATTCCCACTAAAAGTTTTTTTCTGCTTATATGTCTTATTGAAAATTTATTACTAAACTAAGTTGATTGAAACTAATTTTCAAAACCAGTTTCATGATAAAATGTGCTGATAACACTCACCCCACTAAAACATCTCCACCTCCCAGAATGAAAATCTTAGTGCTGTTATTGGTAACCAGGTCAAGAATGTTTACAATCTATAAAGTTTTATTCACTATTAAAGGTGCCAAGTTTGTTTTCTTCCATACACTGCAATGGTTCATTCTGTTATATTTGGATGAAACTTATTAACTCTAATTAATTAGTTTCTAAGTTTGTTATTGTTAATCTATTAACATTTTACATGTAATAAGATATTACCTAATTAATTATTCTTTACTTCAAGAATTATTTTAAAATTTATTTACTTTTGAAAATTCTACAAAAAGGCTGAAAATTAAATCAAAATAATAACTTTAATTACATGACTTACTTTTCAAAGGATTTCATTTTCTTTCGATAATATTTAATTTTGCTTTTATACTTCATTTTTCTTTCTTTATTGTTAAAATATTTCTCACATTCTCTTCTCCATTCTTCTTCCCTAATAGTTAAAATTTATTCCATATTTTAAAATCTCTACAATAAAATAAAAAATGTTTTGTGTGTGTGTAAGTTGAAATAAATCTTTTAAATAAAGCAAGTCTCTATTTAGGTGTTCAAACTGGAAAATTTCATGTGGCTAGTTTATTGGCAAGGCTCAAACTCACAACCAACTACACAGTGTTCGGTGATTTTATCCACTTGGTCACTGGTAGGTAACTGTTAATATGCTAAATTAATCAGTGCACCTTTAATGGTGGACCATCTTTCAGCAGAGACAGATGAAAGTGAAATAACTAGAAAGTAATTTCTCTTTCATCTGTCCACATCTAAAGATGCTCCATTAAGCAGATTGAAAATATTAGCATTTCTTCAACTTCATTCATTGTTAAAGGTGCATTGATTAACTCAAATAATTTCCATAAAAAAGGAAAGTCAGTAATGTAAAGAAAAAGCAATTTAATATTTAAACTAACTAATTTAAGAGACAAATGATATCAAAAAAGAGAAATAATTTATATTAAATATATGTATCAAATAAAAAAAATACATATTAAAAATATTAAGAAAAGCAGAGTAATTTCTACATGAAAATTAAATCACTAATGAGAATGAATGGCTAAATGCTTTTGTAATATCATGCTTAAAAAAGTTTCATTAGGTTAACGTTTAATAAAAACATTTTTTGTCTCCGTCATCAGGAACAAAGATCTTGCTGTTCCCTCCCTTATTACAGAGGTTAGGGATGTTGATGACATGTGATGCCATGCAACAATCCACAGCCTTCCTCTTATACACACTTTCCTCTCAACACCTCTTTATCTGTCATAAATCAAATAATTTCCTAAATAATTCAAATAATTACAGACTTTATCTGGTGCCCAGGACACATGCCCTGCCAGATCCATTTTATAAAATCATTACAGTATTAAGAATATTAAAATTTAAATTTTGGCCATATCTAGAGACCCTAGATTGCCAGTGTGATACAGGTGCTGAGTGCACTGGCACAGTGCAGAACTTAACCATTTTGATTACTAAGACCATTGTTTTAACTCCTTTTCCTAATCCAAACTCACCAATTCCACTTTCAAACCCCAAACAAAGACAGGCACATGCAGCTAATTTTAAATATTAAAAAAAAAAATGACAACTAACCACAGCATTTTCAGACTTTCTGGTGGTATGGAACATTCTTCTCTATAAAGACGCAATCCATAAAAATACCAATAAATATTCCCTTGTTCATCTCGTCCAAGTGGCTGAACACAAAGTTTGTTGCTGTCTTCAATCTAATTAAAACAAGAATATTAACTTGAGTAACAAAATGTATTATTTATCAAAATATTTTAAGTTTTAAAATTTATAACATTATTACACTTTAAACTGCATTAATTATAGTTAGAAAGAAGAAAAAATAATTTTATTATGCTAAATTTCATCAAGAATATTCAAAATTTAGTCTTAGTTTTACATAAAACTGCACATATTTAACATTTTAATGTAGAGTCATACAATTATTTGTTATCTCTTGTTACGGTTGTCCATAAATTACATAGCAAAAATGGTGGGAGGGCGAGAGTGTGGTTAATTGTTATGCTGTGTTATGTTGGGGTTGTAGTGTCACGTTATACCTTCATGGGGCCCAGGCAAATTTGAATTAGAGGAAATTTTATTTGAGGAAATTTTTTAAGGGAAATATTTTCTTATAAAAGATTGGTTTAAGACCCCTTGTTGATGGGGACTAATAAAATTTTCCTTTTTGCCCTTAGGATAACACACCACTGTTGGGGTGAGAGGGTGGGTAATCTTTATAAATGTGTTACAATGAGATGTTTACAAAAATGTTATGTAATGTTAGTGTTTCAATCTTTGGATAACAGAATGATTCATTTTTTTTATTTCTTAAGTATTGCGTAACAAATCATCAGGCCTTAGAAGAGGTTGCATCTAAGGCACCGCCCCAGGGCACATGGGACCCATCAGGGGGAAAAAATTGTCCATTTTCTGATTTTTTCCAAATAATAAAATAACTTTGGCCATGGGCTAACATTTATACTAAATTATTTTTCTACTTCAATATCATTATGTTATTTGTATAAGCAGAGTCTCCGAAAGGGGATTCCAAAATGGTCTTTGCACTGACAGCTCTCCATTAGCCGGGGTCCTGTAAATCATGCTATTTATGTAACTCAGTGGCACATTATACCTTTACGAGGCCCAGGTGAATTTATATTAGGAAACTACATGTACAGAGTTGGCTCCAGACATTTTTCTTTGACGGAATTTTTTGAGGAAAGTTTTTTTTATAAAATATTGATTTGCCCACACAACGAGAGGCCCCAAGCAATTACCCTTTTTGCCCATAGGATAATTGCATGTATCAGGTACAGTACAATACATTAGTATATATTCGATATAGTACAAAGCAGTTACTGATGTAACTGCTTTGTACTATACTGTACCAAATATATGTAATTAATGAATAATGAATGTACTTTATATTCAAAATTATTCTTTGGTATAATTAAGGGATATGTGATCATGGACATGCATTGCATAATTTTGGGATATGTATGGAAGTGTTACAAAGTGTTATGTAATTTTCGAACGATCTCTAGTAGAATTTGCATGTGCATCAGTGGCTACAGGAACCCTCACAAATGTGAACAGAACAGTCAAGAGCTAGAGATAGAGAGGGCAGTGAATGTTAGTGCCTGGGACCCCTTCTAAATAAATCGTCTCTATTCAACTTAATTGCATACTATATTTCAAAATGTAAAAAGAAAGAGAAGACCTAAATTACTATAATTTATTAAAAATGTGGGTTAATTATTGCATTTTAATTATACTGTATATGCTATTCAAATAATGATAACTTCGATTGAAACAAATAAAAGTGATTAAGCTGCATTCGTTTTATCAGAATCAGAACAGTATGCAGCATTACGTCAATTTGACGTCATTTTATGCTTCCTTATTCTAAAAAATAATAAAAACGACGTCAAAATGACGTAAGAATCAGCACTATTTCGACAAAACACACAAACACATCTTAAATATACTGGCCTAACACACACTAGAAAACTGAAGATTAAATGAATTAAAGAATAATCTAATAATGCAACTATTCACGTTATTAATTATTAAACTAAAAAGCTTTTTTAAAACTGGAATATGAAAATTTTGTACTAATTGTAGAAAGAAAAAATCCAGCAACAAGTTGTTTAACTTTCCTAGAAACATTTAGTGGCGCTATCTGTTATGACATTTTATTTTAAAAACTTTTTATATTTTTAACTGTTATAAAACAGCAAAAATGCTTAATTTCGAGGGTAGGGATGGGTTTTACAAAAAAAAAAAAAAAATGTATAATGAGTAAAATCGTCATTAAGTTCGAACCTACTGGAGATACATACGAACCCCTTTATCTCTCCATCTCCTCAACCTTTAATCATCAAATTTTAATAGCATCAATTCCCCTAATAAACAAACATCACTGCGAAATTTCAGAAATTTTCGACAAAAAGCACAGGAATTATTAAGCTTCAAAGAGGGTGAACAAAATCCTGCCTCTCCTCACACACTATATCAATACATACAGAAAAAACCCCGAATTTTTTTCATTTCTCGACGTTTCAATGTCCTAAGTCCAAAAATTTAAAGATCTGGGGGATAATTTTTGGACCGATCGATCGCTATACTTTTCCTCTGTTATACATAACAGCTGGGAAAGTAAGAATGAGAAGAAAATCATATTCACCGATATGGCAGACAAACAAACAAATATAACTAAACAGTTATTAAAAAATCAGATTCAATAAAGATATTTCTACGACAGCAATAAATATAAATCGTTATTTTTATTTTTAAATGTCAACTCTTTGAGAGGCAAAGTTAGACCAGTCACAAATATAGTCTCACTCCCTCCGAAAATAATAAAAATATATGATTAGACTAAATAAAAAACAATTTTCGCTATTTATCAAAGTAAATTTTATATCATTTTTTAGTCTTTTTTTTACATGAAACGGTTATTTTAGGCCAGAGTCTGAGAGAAGTGGACCAAGACTATGTCTGGGTCTGTTTCAGCGTTATATTATTAAAAATAAATAAACGAAATATATTCCATTTACGTTTCTAGGTTTTTTAATGTATTTTATAGATTTTCAAGTGAATAACAAATACAGTAATTGTTTTGAAGGTCAGCGGCAATTTGGGTTACCAGTCCCCAACTAGCATCCCTCATCCAACCAAAACTTGTGGTTTTCAATGTTAACAACTACTTTTGAATCCTCCCAAAACTATTAACAAAAAAAGAAAAAACGAATGACTATTCTTAACTTATTAATTTTTTATGTTTATGATAAAATCTAATAAAATATAAATGTCATACAAGATAATTCTTTAATAATTGTAATAACGAAAGAATTATTTTATTTAGAACTCTAAAATTCGCCAGTTTGGCGTCGTAGTGATAATTACAATGTAGATTTTTTAAGAAAATCGGATATGACGAAGAAATAATCTTCTATAGTAATACACAGGAAAAACTCTTAACAATTATGATGATCTAGAACATGAAAAACTGCCTAAATTGTGGTTTAAACACCTCAAAAATAATAAATTATAAGAGCCAATGTACACTCAGCTCTAGACTAAAATAAAATAAATATAATAAACAAATACAGTAATAAAGTTTCTTAATTATATTATTTACTATTTCATTATTGCACTAAAATCTTTCACACCTTGCAAACATGCAACATGTAACTATGATTACAGGTGACCACAGAAAATTTTCCAGGGAGAGGAAACAGATAATTACATCAATAAATTTTTATTTATTTATTTAATTTTTATGGATTTGTGGATTATAGAATACAGTATTGCATCAATTAAAAAAGACAGACAAAGAGTCCCATGGACTAGGCTTTCCCCAATTATAGTTTGTGGAATTTTTTTACTTGATCCCATAGCAGAAGAATTCTAATTCCATATTTCACAATGGTAGCCTATATAACACATTATAGCGTTATATAATGTGTTAACATTTAAATTGTATTTTTAAAAAAACAATATAATTTTTAAAATTATTTGAATAACACTTAGTTACCAATTAGCACCAAGAAAAATCTCATCACTTAATAATAAAACTAATGACTTCTTTTTAACTGATAATTAATTGCATGAAAAAAGCTGATGTAAATTCATTAATTCATCACTGAAAAAAACAAATTAAATCAATTTTTCAAGTGAGGATAGACTCAATGATTTTGTTATTTTATTTGTTAAGTCTTTGAAACTGGAATATATAATGGAAAAACTTGGAGAAACAAAGGGGAGATTTTCAAATATAAAATATTTATTTAAAATTAATTTTGCTCCTCTTATAGTATCAAAATTTATATTATGTTTTGATATTTATTATAATTTAATAAATTGATTCAACATAACATTATTATTAATTTAAACTCAGTTCCTAGTTAACTTTTGCTATTTTTTCCACATTTTTCCACATAAATGGAGTTCATTTTTAAGTTGGAATGGGATCTTATTTCCAAGAATATAAAATTAGCATATTTTATTGTATATTAAGTGTTTTTTCTGGTTTTTATAGCATTTTTAAGTAATTAATTCCAATTTTTATAGTTAATTTGTACAGTTAATCAATCAGGAAATTGGAAAAAAAACAGCAGAATGAAACACTGATCAGAAAGAAAAAGAGAAAGAACTAAAATAATGTTATATTAAATATTAGCTGGTGAAAACTATATTGATATCTTTAGAGCATCCTCACTGCAAAATTTACAGTGCAATATAGAAATTAATAGTAAAATAGTATATACAAGTACTTGTAGAAGTGGAAAAGCCATACAAATATTGTAAAAAAAATTATTGCTCAAATGGGATTAAATAATAGTAAATAATAATTTTTGCTACTGCTATTTTAATTAGACAAAATATGGATTACAATCATTTATATTGTTGATGAAAAGTTAAAATATATTTAAATAATTCTATTAATTTCAATTGAGATTTTCATGCTAATTAGTTTCAATAATAATCGTTCATAAATTTCATGAATTATTCAAAAAAATCTTATGATATCTTAATGTTATATAATACACAATCTTTAAACTATCTTCACATCTAATTTAAAAAATACCTGAAATGTTTTTAAAACAAAAATCTCTATAATTATATTTGAGAACATTTAGAATTAATAAATAAAAACATTAAAAAACATTTTAAGTTAATTAATTAAAATGCATAATAATTTCATTATCTAAATCATAAATTTAATGAGAAGAATCCTTCACTATAAATTTAAAATGTTTTATATTTTTTTCCCACTAATTGCATTTTATACCAGTGCTTATTTCATTAATAATTATTTAATAAATAATATACAGAACTAATTTTTGTATAAATAATGTAAATAAAATTTATATATATTTCAAAGTTTATAATGTGCAAGATATAATACAATTTAATGACTTAAAAAAATAATAATAGTTATTTATAAATTATAAAGTGCAATATGTTAATAATAAAAAAGTTCTAGTTCCAGTTTATAATTATTCAAATACTACAGTTTGAAGAACATGCTAAATTATGATAGAACATACCTTCATATTTTCTTATTAAATCAAATTATTTTCAAAAATACAAAGTGCAACTGGCATCAAATATCCAACAGAGCTAAAGAGAAAATATTTTTAAGTTTATGAAATAAAAATCAAACATATTCCTATTAATAAAACTTACATTTAACTATAAACTATGTAAATAATAAATAACTTGCATTTGTAAGTGTACAGTTTAATTTAAATCAATATACTTTAGATAATATTTTAAAAAGTCCTACCTTGTGTGGAGAGATGTTGTTAACAGGAATATCCTTTTCAAACTAACAGAAAAGTACTAACAGCAATCCTCCCAGCAAGAAAACAAACCAATTAGAGAAGCACAAAAGCAATTTTTTAAGTAATTTCAACTTACACAACCATTTAACAACAAACTAATTCAAAGTGGTTTCACCAATTACTTTTACAATGGGGAGGGTCAAAGTGTGGAAAATCATCAGAAACAATCTCTTCCCCATTCTTAGCAATTCAAGTAGTTTTATTACAGGGTGCAATAAAAGGCAGGGTGACATTCTGAAGAAAACTATTCAACAGTAGTGGGAAAAATTTTGTTTTTAACTGTCCTTTCAATTACCTAGTCATAAAGCAGTATTCTTAAAGCTACTGAGGAGAAAAATTATTAGACATGATTAAATAATATAACATCAATTAGTTGTAATTCCGTACTCATTATTTATATGATTAAACCAAGAAAAGAAAAACATTACTGTTGAAATTTTCTGTATTTAACTAGCTTTACCACTAAAAAATTCTTTACAATAAATTGTTATATTCCATTCTGGGTTGTTACAGATTTTAAATAGCTTATTATAATTCATAAATCAGAACTTTATTCATTCATATAAAATTTGCATGTAATAAATATTATATATATTAATTTCATGTATTAAAACTTAATTGATAATGAGAATTATTTTTCTAAATCCAATTAGCTTAAAAAATTTATTTATTTAATAAATTAATAATGCAAAATAATTTAAAAACTGCATTTTAACAAGTAGAAATATCATTATCTTTTTATAAAGATTAAAATATCTTAAATTTATTTAAAGTAATTCAAAATTTTGAATAAGTAATAATGAAACATTAGTATTATTTTTCAGCACATATTGTCTTTCAGAAGAAAAAATGCATAAAAATCATAATTAAGTTTATTTATAGCATAAAAAAGTTTCAGAAATGTAACAGATAAAAAAAGAAATATTTATGTAATGTTTAGCAACAGATAAAATTGAAAATATTTATTGTAATTATATATTTATCATAAAATCAATGGAAGAAACAATCTTTGGAATAAGGTATAAATTTGCTATGGAGAACTTATCATGCAGGACACTTTTTTACGATAGAAAAAGTAGATTTTATTTTCTGTTTTTTTTTAAAGAAATGCATTTCTGGCCATATACCCCACTTCAGTCCTTATTACATATAATGATAAAACTATAATATAACTAATGGTGACAACTGGAATAACTAAGTGTTAAAAATGTTTAAACTAGTAATACTGTAAAATTAAAAAAATAAACCTTGCTAAAAATATAGAAAAAATTGACAAATAAAAGGAGTAAAAACAAAAACTTTAAAAACAAGGTAAAAATGCCTCACTGTACTAATATCAGGAAGTACTGTATCTAATAAGGATTGAAGAGGGGCATATGG